TCAGCAGGGATGAACTTGTGTAATGTAACTTCTGTAGAAAAATAACCAGCTGTGCTCACACTGGGTATCTAATACAATTAAACTGTGTACAAGCTTGTTGTTTCAATCCGTTTAAATTACACTTAGGTTGACCTTCACCCTGATCTGAGAAACCTAAAATGTAAGATGCTTTCATTGCTACCAATTAATGAGGTTTTAACTAGAAATATCCCCTAAAAATGTTCTTTTGCATAGTTAATAAAATCCTCTACATGAGCCCTAACTAGAGAGAGACAAGCTGGGTTATTGTTACTTCTCAACAAGCTAATTTCAAGTTACGTTTACAAGAATTTCAGACCAGCAACCTTCCACCTGTGGATAAACCCAAAAGTCAACACAGGGCAGTGAAGTGTCAGCACACAATCACCATGTATTCATCTGAAGATAAATCTAGTAGGCTATTTAAAATATCTGTCAAAACGTCCTATGAAAAGACCAAACCACCAAATACAGACATATTTTAGCTTGTCTTTCTGTGCAACGACTGAGTTCCATTCTTGCCATTTCATTTCATTAAGAGCTGGTGTTAACTAAATGCTAACACCAGCATGTTAAGAGCAACAGTGCTGATGCTTAGCAGTTATCACGCTCATCATATTTTAGCCTGTTATCCTGCTGATGTTTGCTATTTATCTCTAAACACAGCTAAATTGCAGAGACTAACAGGCATAAACATTAGCTCTGCAGGTATTTGGTCATAAAGTAAAGTACTGGACAAATGTAAACTTAGCCTGATAAGGGTGCTGAATAAAAAAAGTCAGAGAATCACCAAAGTTATTACACTTTGTCCTGAAGGGAACATGAATGTCTGGACCAAATTTTATGGGAATCCATTCAATAGCTGTGGAATAATTTTAGTAAAAATCCTCCTCATGGTCTTAAGGAAAAGTCAAATCACCCAAGTAACTTGACTTCATCCTCTGGGAGCCACATGCATTATGTCTGCACCACTGAGGTCTGCACTCAGTTTTATGGCAACCCAACTAATATCTACAGCAGTGGAAACACACTGACAGTGCCATCCCTGATGCTGCTAACGTGGCTAAAAACACATCACAGAGCCACACCTCGGCACCGTGTGACCTGCTCCTTCACGGTGAAGTTCAGATGTCCCAAGCTGATCTGGGAATATAAAGCTAAAATAAAGCTGAACAAACACGGATCCCTTCTGTACTGTGCTTTACAGAAGGTGTGGCAGCATAGCTCTCCTTTCTCACAGCAAGGCCAATGCAACATATCCCTGTTAAAAAAAATAAATTATTTTGCTGGAAATTTGCATATCCTCCTTTCGTTTGTGTCATGGTCAATGGCTATGACAATGTTAAGTTATTTGACAGGTCTGATGGAAGTGACTGAATCCTGTCATCACCAGGTGTACAAAACATTCAGGTAGCAGGTACAATGTGTCATTATTAACAGACCTTGATTGGTGCCAACAATGCTGAATGGGACTCTATTATGAACAGGGGCACCGTAGTTTATGTTCAGTCAGTCCCACATTCACCCTTCTGCTGCTGTAAATACTAACAAGAGTCGAGCTCCAAATGTGTATTTGTCCACAGCTAAAATAGTTCAATAAATGTACACAGTTTGATGAAAACTACAAAAAAAGAAAAGTAAAAAACTAATGAAACTATATATGTGTTTCCCATTTTGAAAGATTTGTCTTTAGTAGCTGGTCTAGGTGCAAAATGCCACAGAAAAATTGAAGCCAAAAATATGGTTGCAACTAACAATTATTTTCATTATTGATTAATGTGTAGATGTATTCAAAGTGTTAGTTTTTTTTTTTTTAACCATCAGTCCAAACCCCAAATTTACTATGAAATAAGAGAAATGAGGTGTCAAGTCCTCACATTTTAGAAGTAGGAACTAACAGAGGTTTGGCCTTTTTACTTGAAACTTATCTGAGAGAGAGAGACAAACTAACACATTGTTGGTTTGGGTCTTTTCATGGGATTTGTTCAATGTAAGTAAAATATAGAATACTGCCAGCCTTATCCTTGAATTAACAACAGCCTACATTATAAAGTTACCAACTCTGTTTTCATTTTAAACATTGTGCATGTTTACACTATTTTTTCCCAGTATGCATCAGAACAGGCCTTGTACCGTGTGGCTACTGGAGGAGGCAGGGCGGCTGCTTTAGCAGTCAAAACAACGTCAGTACACACACGACCTGATTAAAACAACGTCAGTAAACACACATGATCTCACTCGTTTAGATAACACTAAGTCCTTCATAGTTGACAGGCAGAACAAACCTAACTGTTGGCAAGAGGCCCCTACAGTGGGTCACAAACAAGCTCGGTAACTGTGAGTAACCCTTCATGCCTACTGTGGGAGCACAGAAAGAGGAAGCCTGAGTCTACTGAAATAGTTTCCTGTCTCTGCAACTGTTTTCAGTTCTGAGTCCCTGTAGCGAGACCCGTTCTGCCCCCCTTACTCTCTGAGGTGCACTGTGAGAAAACTAAGCTTACATTTAAATAAATGCTGGCAATAATAAAAAAAATCTGTAAAAGGCTTTGTTCCTTCAGTAATTAAACAATGTGAATGTGCAAATATGATTGCACACAAAAGACACTTTGGTAGGTGTATGCATGTTTGTCACCTAAAAGATATAACCAAGACTGAAAATAAGACTTAAATCAGGTGTGATCTCATAGGCAGCTCTGAATTTACTGGGGAGTGGGGGAGGTGTTACTGTAGCAACTGTCATTACCGAACCAGTCCTAAATATTGCATTGTGTATCTGCTGACGGTGAAACTGTACACAAGCAAGGCAGCAGTTTGTGTGTGTAGGTGTGCATCTACTGTAAATGTGTGTGTGTGTGTGTGTGTGTCTGCAAGCAACATGATCAACAAGTAACCAGAGGTTCATCAGTCTCCGAGAGGAGCATGTGACCAATATGAACGTAGCAACGGCTGAACTTTTCTCTGTGTGGGTTTGCTTTCATATCAGCTTATCTCACTCAGACACTACCTTGTTTCCCTATGTAAACTGATCCACCAGGCAAACAAAAAGCACAGTGTTCCTTTGGGAAAAACTACAAATCCAAACCTTGTGCAGAAGAATAGTTTGAAACCATAATCGGGACGATCTAACGAGGGTAATATCAAGATGCAGGAAATGACCCTGCAAACTGAATGCAGAGCTCAAAATCTGTCAGAACAGAGGAACAGATCAACCAAGTTGCTTGCAGAGCTGTTTGCAGGTGTGTATGTGTATGTTGATCTGCTGGTGTAGTTGTGAATTGTGTGTCCTGCTGTCGTCCTACTTGAGAGCTTTAGCTACAGAGGAGTAAGCGATGTGGATCTCCTCATCGAGCGGGCAGGTGGAGGCAAACTCCTCCCGGGCGTACGCAGCCTTCAGGTACCTCCAGAGGTTTGCTAGAGACTCTGGGATGCTGAAGCTTCGGTATTTCAAACACACCACCTGGAGGGGGAAGAAACAAAAAGAGTTTGAGAGACACAGTCAACAAGTGAAACTGAAACTAGGCTTTATAATCTCTTCACCCAGGGCTCCGTTCTCACACTGCACAGCCTGAGAGAGGAGATTACCTTCACAATGTGGAGCTTAGGCAGCAGGTTGCAATCAGCTAGAGTGAGCGCTTGGCCATCCAGGAAGGGGCGGCACGAGGAAATGACTTCATCAGAGCTATTCTCGTCGATCTCGTCTGGAAGAGGGGCACCGAGGTAGTCATCCAGCTTCTTCAGAGCCTTCAGCAGTCCCTTCTCTAGATCTGAACACATACACAGAATACACAGAAATGAAATGATTGAGTGAAATTCATCTAAAGAATTAACCGATTAAACGACTAACAGCTGCAGCTCTAGCCAGAAAGTACAGAGAGACACTGTGGGCGAGCATCAGGACATTTACAACGAGATCACGTAACAGAGCAGCAAGTGACCTGTTTGCACTAAGACAGAAGCTCAGAACATAATGTTATTGCCACAGACACTGCAGAGAGTAGCAGGTCGAGCTCAGCAGCATTTGATGCAGAAAATATCACCAAAAATAAAACATTTGAACACTAATAATGTGGAAAATAAGTCTGGATAAGAAAAGAAAATTAGATCCACTTACTTTCATTGGCCGCAGGGTTTGAGTTCTTGATGTAAGCGGAGAATTTGGAGAAGACATCCATTCCCGCTGTGTTGGACTCTGGGTTACGAGCGGCCAGACGAGGATACCTAATCAACAGAAACCCACATGTGGTCATCTCATTACAAACATGTAGGATGAAACAAAAAGGGCAAGAATATGGGAGGGGAGCAAAACAAATAGGGCTGCAAGTCATGTTTATGTTCATCACTGATCAATCTGCTATTTATTTTCTCAATCAGTTAAAAAGCAGCATTAGTGAAAGGTCATGCCTGCACATTGGCTCCAAGATGAAACATTTATTCACAAACACAATGTCTCGATCCGAGTTACTTTATTTTGAAACGGGTTGGACTTGTGCGGGCGTTGTTTGCTGCTTGGGTTTTCAAAATGTCACAATATTTTGAATTATGAACAGAAATATTTCCTAAACCTCAAAGTGACATCTTCAAATAGCTTGTTTAGTCTAACAAAGCTCAGAGATAATGAATTAACTATTACTTCAGTCAAAGGAAAGCAGTAAATATTGAAGATTACAAAGCTGAGGCAGAAGTGTTTATAATGTTTATGAATGAAAAGCGACGCGAGGACGATGAATCGATCACCAAAGTTGTTGCTGACACCAGAATGAAGAGGAATTATGAAAGAGACAGATGGAGAGATTACTTCGGAGGGCAGAGGTTCTCCTCCAGGAACTCCTCAATCTTGTTGGTGTCTGTTTTCACCTCGCTGCCGTACAACAGGAAGGGAGGCTGAGCGCCAGGCGCGAGGTCCTTCAAGATGTCTGGCTTCCTGAGGGTGGGTGAAAAGGTCAGACAGATGGAGGAGGAGAGAGAGTCAGAAAGGCAGGGATTCAAAACAGAGATGCAGAGTTAAACAACAGGAGAGGAACAGAAGAAAAAAAGGGGGGGGGGGGAAAAAAGAGAAAGAAAATGATGCTAAAAAAAAAAACAAGAAATGAATCATGTTTACAGCTAAATTGTAACTCATGTTACAATAGTAACCCGCAGCACCAAGAGGGGGAAAAAGCAACCTCAAACAGGTGAGAAACCACCGTCTTCACCTTTTCATATCCACCGTGGTAACGTCGAAGGTGACTCCTTTCAACCACAGCACCATGAAGAGACGCTGAGAGAAAGGACAGTTGCCGATGCTCTGACCGTCACTCCCCGCCTGGGAAACAAAGACGGAGAGAAAGAGCTGAAAACATGCCTCAAGCTTTATAACTGATTCTTTCCAAGCAAACAGTTTCTAGCTTGTCTCTTATGATAACACTGCTGCAACTAACAGTTATGTTCATCAGAAGTTAAGCTTCCAAACAGTTTTACAATTAAACGATTTAACATAAAAAATAAAAAAAGATACTTTCTCTGTTCCAGTTTCTGCTGATTTGTTGCATTCCTTTATTTCATAACATTGTAAGCTGAGTATTTTTAGACTTTGGGCTGCTGGTTTGGGCAAAACAAGTCATTTAAAGGCATCACACTGCCCTCTCTTCACCCAGTGTTTTCACATTTCATGGCCCCAAACTATTAATCAAATAATGGAGAAAATAATCAGCAGATTAACCCTCACTGTGAATAACTATTAGTTGCAGCCTCTTCATTCTTACATTCAAGTAGATCTTGTAGGCTACTCAATAAATGATCATACAGCTTTAAAATGTGCCTTGTGTGGCTGTGGGAAGCCATATCTCGTTGTCTCTGTTAGATCTGTACCGTGGCCTGTATGGCTGAAGGGAGCTTCAGTAAATCAGAAAACCACTTACTTTTGCACAATCCAGATGAAACTATACTGTTAACTAAGGGTATCTAGGGTCTGACTAGTAACCAGGGTTTAGAGAA